GCCCAGCCACCCTGCAGAGGAAACTCATTTCAGCTGCTTGTATCYGYSATCTYMTTYTTTCAGTCACTACCCAAAGCTCCTGACCATAGATGAGGGTAGGAACATAGACCGACTGGTAAACTGAGAGCTTCGCCTTCTGGCTCAGCTCTCTCTTCACCACAACAGACCGGTACAACACCCACATCACTGCAGACACAGCACCAATCCACCTGTCGATCTCCTGCTCCATTCTTCCCTCATTCATGAACAAGACCCTGAGATACTTATACTCCTCCACTTGGGGCAGGACCTCCTCCCTGACCTGGAGAAGGCATCCTACCATTTTCTGGCTCAAGGCCATGGTCTCAGATTTGGAGGAACTGATCCTCATCCCGGCCGCTTCACACTCGGCTGTGAACCGCTCCAGTGAGAGCTGGAGATCAGGATCTGATGAAGCCAACAGGACCACATCATCCACAAAAAGCAGAGATGTGATCCTTAGGTCACCAAAAAAGGACTCCCTCAACACCTTGGCTGCTCCTAGAAATTCTGTCCATAAAAGTTATGAACAGAATCAGTGACAAAGGGCAACCTTGGTGGAGTCCTACTCTCACTGGAAATGAGTCCGACTTACTACCAGCAATGTGGACCAAGCTCTGGCACCGGTCCTACAGGGATCTAACAGCCCATATCTATGGGCCTGGCCTGTTACCCCATACTACCGAAGTACCCCCCACACGAGTACCTGAGGGACATGGTTGAACGCCTTCTCCAAGTCCACAAAACACATGTACACTGGTTGAACTCCCATGCACCCTCTAGGACCCTGCTGAGGGTATAGAGCTGGTCCAAGACCAGGACCAAAACCACACTGCTCTTCCTGAATCCGAGATTTAACTATCTGATGGACCCTCCTCTCCAGAACCCCTGAATAGACCTTACCAGGGAGGCTCAGAAGTGTGATCCCCCTATAGTTGGAACACACTCTGCAGTCCCCCTTTTTAAATAGGAGGACCTCCACCCCAGCCTGCCAATCCAGAGGAACTGCCCCCGATGTCCACGCAATATTGTAGAGTCTCATCAACAAACACAACCCCAATACATTCAGAGCCTTAAGGAACTCTGGGTGAATCTCATCCACCCCTGGCGCCCTGCCACCGAGGAGCTTTTTAACCAACTCAGTGACCTCAGCACCAGAGATTGGAGAGTCCGACCCAGGATCCTCAGGCTCTGCTTCCTCATGGGAAGATGTGTTGTTAGGATTGGGGAGGTCTTCAAATTATTCTGCCCACGGACTCACAACGTCCCTAATTGAGATCAGCTGTGCACCATCCCCACCATAAATAGTGTTGGTGGTGAACTGCATCCCCCCACAAGATGCTGGATGGAGGACCAGAATTGCCTCGAAACCATACGGAAGTCTTTTTCCATGAATGTCTATAAGCATTTTTATCTAAACTGAAACAATCACACCATTTGAGACAGGCTGGGAGTTGGACTCCAGGGCTGCCCATTGTCACAATTCTGTTCATAACTTTTATTGACAGAATTTCTCGATGGATAAACTGTAAATAAAAATACAAACCAGTAGCTTTACCTCCGGCTTTCAGTTTTGCTTGTAGAAGGCTGATTTCTTTCTTTAGTTGGATGGTTTCATCCATGTAGGCTTGTGTGAGTGATTCTGTTGTGTAGCTGTGCTGCTCATCTGTGCTCTGTCTCATTTTCTCCACATATTGGATCATTTTAGATGTTTCCTTCTTGTCTTTGACATTAAGAACAAAATATCTTCCTCCACAGCTCTGACAGAGCTCCTGGATGTTCTTGTCTCTTCTTATAAAGTTAAGGACTGCTGGAGCTGCAGGATCTGAGTCCACAGTGAACAGAATCATGATGAAGTTTTTGACTCGAGGGCTGAATGCGTCCTGGATGGTTTGTAACTCTCCCTTGTCTTCATCAGTGAGGGGAGCCACAGGTAGGACCAGGATGAAGGCATGGACCCCCTCAGGATCACAGAGGGAGACACACCTGAGGGTTTCCTCCATCACTTCCTCAGGTGGTTTGTCGTACAGAGGAGGCATCTGTAGCACAGAAACCTGATGTCCACACACCTCTGCCTCATGTTTAACCCACTCTGATGGGCTGGAGGCTGGAGGAAGATCTGTCTGATCTAATATAGCTTCAGCTGCTGAAGTCTTCCTTTTTCTGTCCCCAACCAGGACCAGGTTTAAAGCTGGTCTCATCTGGTCAGACTTTGGTTCTGCTGACTGATCTTTGATGGTCAAGACGGCACCTCTGGTTTTTGTCACAATACCCTCGATCTTTTCCATCAACCCTCTGTGGTCATTTCCAAATGTGTTGTATTGTCTTCCCTCACATTCTGTGATGAGTGAATTCACAGAGAAACTTGTGTGTTTTCCTTCTTGTGTCATGATGACCATTGAGTGCTTGAAAGCCTTTTTACCAAACAGACTCAGTGTGGACCTCAGTGTGTGTCTGTCCTTCTCTGTGAAGTCTGAGGGCTTCACTAACAGCAGCAGAACATTTGGTCCAGAAGGACAAAGACTTATGCACTTTTTCAGCTCTTCTCTCATGACTCTTGGAGACGGACTTTCTGGAGCTTCCACTACATATAAGAATTTTCCATTCCATAGACCCTCTTTGACCGGTTCGCCTGAACCTGAAAACTTGGAATTTTTTGTTGTGATAAAGTTGCTGAGTTGTGTCTTCATGAGTTGACTTTTTCCTAAAATCATGATGCAGTAACGTCCTGTAAGGTAACAAACACAAAATAAAGATTAGACCTGAAAACATAAAGCACAGCAATGCTCGACTGCAGCTGAGCTGAAGACTGAAAAGCTGCATGAACCAGAACTAAAGAGGAGTTGGGAGATGTGTGGCAAAATCAGAGACTGAAAGCTGACTCAGGGGCGGAGCCAGAGGGGTGGACAGAGTGACAAGTGGCACACCTGACAGCTGTGACAGGTGACAGGTCACCGCAGGTGGCACCCCTAAATGATTGGCAAATGGAGTGAGGATTACATGAGGCAATAAAAGAAAGGCAATTAGAGCAAAACAAGAGTAAATATCTGTCAAACAGTTGTATCATCTGGTGTTGCGGGAACCCATCAGCGTGTGAGGAAAAAAATTTAAACTTTTACAAACCACTGAATTAATATAAAGCAAAATTTGGGTGTAATAATTCTGGAAATAAGAACCAGTTAATGAAAATTAGGTGAAATCTATAGGTGAGTCTATAGTGGGGCTGGGCGATTTTTTTGATCATGATTATTGAACAAGAAAAAATTCAGGTTGATCACGGTGATCAGCTGTGAGCCTCTTTACTCAATCAAACATGGCGAAAATGTGCATGACAACAACCAATCAGAATCCACCTTCTCCTGCTCCACTTCCATTTATAAGTTGCTAAATAAACACGGATGGAATCACAGAATAGACCAAACAAAATGTAATCCAGTATAAAACTGTACGGGATCAACCTTACCCTCTTACAAAAAGGTTATAAGGAAATACTGTATTATTTAGCAAGGATCTCTTTTATTTTCGGTAAACATTCTTTCAGTGCAAAGTGAATGCACACACAATAAGTTACGTGTCAGTGAATTTTGATTTGATCCATAAATAAATGTGATCGTTTATTTAAAAAATCAGACAAAATCACTAAAGTACACTTTATTGTGAGCAATCAGTTTCCTATAAAAGTTTTAGGACCAACAATAACAAGCGCTTTGAGCTTCTTAATTGTTAACCACAGGCACTTAAATAGAACACAAACATCAAGCTTTGGATGTTCAATACCAGACATTTGAGGCAAATAACTTGAGGTTGGCAAGAACAGTTTTAAGAAAAGGAGGAAGTAAGATGTTAGCTTTCCTACTTCTTAGATAATATGGGTTTAACCAGAGAGGCAAGGCATTCTGTACTCAGTGTTGGCCAGACAGCGATACTCATAACAGCCAGCTTTACCTTTAAAGATGAGGTCAATCACCTGTCCAGGTATTTGGGTCTCTCGTAGAAAATCCATTTAGGACCGTCCACTGAGCTGGACCCTTAGGCTTGTTTGCCAGTACTCGCGTGCATCCGCGTCAAGCCGTAGAAAGAAAGTGAAGCCAAACACTGGATCCCGACTTCAAAATAAAAGTTCTGACAACCAAGTTGGATAGACCAGGCGTTGCTTATATCCAGGCTGTGTTTTCCCCATTGGCTTTGAGGGGCTAAACCGACACAGCTTCAGCTCTTGATTCCCCAGGGAGAATCTAGCTGAGAGAAGACTGTCGTCTCCACAGACAGGCGTTCCATCACTTTCTGTCATCTGGACAGAAACTTAGTTTCTAAAGACCTAAGAGAACCGAGTTCCACCTTCAGAGGTTAGATTAGACAAGAAGTTATCAAGGAAAGTGTTAGTTCAGAGACTTGCCATCGCCTCCTGAAACTAAACAAAGATTACTGCTTCTGTGTAGTTCAGAAAAAAAACATATCATGACCTATTTATTTAATATCTGATAAGAACTTCTTTAAAAACATAACTAAAAGAATGAATTGCTTCAAATTCAAAACCTTTGCAAATATGATTCAGACAAGTAAAACATTGATATTTCATCAACTTTTAAACCAAAAGATTAGTTTAGTTGAATAAGATTTTTGCACAGAAAATCCATACTTTGCTGAAATCATACTGAGGGAGAAAAGAGATCTGTCCTCTTTCACTCATGTAACTTTGATAAACATTCTCTGATCATCAAATGCGTAATAACTTTCAGTTAAAAAGACAGTAAATCAAATTAGATGAAGATTCTTCTGTCTATTATCTGACTAAGGAAAAGAGAATATCTCTTTGGGAAGTTAAGGTGACCTGAGGTGGCCTAAATTCAGTTCTAAGTGGAACAGAGTTTTTGTCCCTTTAAAGGCCCATCAGAGGACTGAGGTCCAAGACAGTTTCCTTGATTATTTCACTCAAGATGACCCCTACAAAACACTGAATCTCACAGAATTTGCTTATTTGGGAGAGTGTCTGAATAATTTTGTTCTCAGCCACTCACTGTACCTGCTGTTGCCTGCTAACAGGCACACAAGGTGAGCTGCCCTCCCCACAGAGAGAGAGAGAGAGAGAGAGAGAGAGAGAGAGAGAGAGAGAGAGAGAGAGAGAAAGAGAGAAAGAGAGAGAGAGAGAGAGGTTTGCGGTTTTAAAATTCCTTTTATATTACACTCCTTATGTCAGACAATAAAAAAACAATCATAAATACAAACCCAAAAAAGGAAAAACTAAGGATGCCTCATCCAATGTACACAAAACATCATGAATACCCCACTTACATATAAACCCATCAATGTTCTGTGTTAACTAAAAAACTCAAACTCCACATGAATTCGAGCGATTATCAGTCTCTGAAATAAAACACCAGCATCATCCGTTTGATGACCGTTCTTTTTGTTTCTCCTCGATAACCATATTGCCAGTTTCGCAGTCCCAGAAATAAAATTCAAAAGAACGTGAATAGATTTCTTTCTTGCACAGTACCGTGGACCATAAATAAAAACACAGTTAGAAAACTGTTCACCAAACCCACAAAACAAACGATGTAGAAGAACAAAAAGAGGCTTCAATCTTGAACATTCAACAAATAAATGAGATAATGTTTCATCTTGAGAGCAATAACAACAAGGAACTCTAATGGCAGGATTAAGGTGTGCCAGATACCTGTTTGTAGCTATGGCCCTATGCACAATCCTCCACTGGAGGTCACCCACCCATTTCTCAATGGGGGGTTTGTACAGGGACCGCCAACAGCCTCTTGGGGTAGAGCTGGAGTCAAAAACTCAAGCCACTTTGATACCCTCACTTCTGCCAGAGAGCGTAGACTCAGCACCTTCACACAGACATGGTACAAAACTTTCTTCTTCAGGCCTTCAAAACAACCCAAAGGTGTGTCTTGGAGAGACAACAACAATTCTGGTTCATCCTGCCACTGATCCACTGCAGRAGAGACGATCAGGGAAGGAAACATGTACTCATATTCATCATCCCATTGGTCAGACAGAGTACTGTTAACAGCAAACGCTCTGATGGAAACTGGCAGAGATGCACAAGTTTCTTCTTTAATCCTTAATACGAGTCTGTTGGACCGTACCTGTAGACTCTCCGTCAGACTGTCTACAGACGGTTTCATCAGATGACCCAGCTTGACACAGCCTGCTTCCCTCATCTTAGATCTTAGCGTGCCAGATGAGAGAAGGTGTGACGAGAGGAAACTGTTCTCAAACAGAGGCTTCTCAAAAACCCACATTGCAGATGTTGACTCAGTCTCTCTCTCAAAGGTGAGGATCTTCCAAGCGTTTAGCACAGACTGGTAGAACGGGATAAGACCAGACAAATCCATAGATCCTTTTCTCAGCAGAAAGAGATTTTTATCAAATCCCATACAACCTGCTTTCCTCAGCAGAAGACGTGCCGTATCCAGCCATGGCAGTCCAACCCCATATACAGTGGTTTGCAAAAGTATTCATACCCCTTGAACTTTTCCATATTTTGTCACATTACAACCACAAACATAAATATATTTCACTGGAAT